GAAATGTTTTGGTCCATTGAGTGCCTTGGAACCTTGGCTTGGCGATGCGGGAGGCTGCATATGTAGAAAAAGACTAGATATGATACTCTCCCAGCCTTACAGTCGAGTATGTCCGGTTTCAGTTATATTACATCATGTTCTAGAGCTGTCGCTTGAGACAATATTGTTGTGGGGAATGATTCAAGAGAACAAAGAAAGAATGTGATCAACGCCCCTGACACAAATTTTGTGCGATATATTCTGAGACATCAAATCGAGCAATTGGGATTGTTGTCGGATCTCAACTATTCCCTTTGTGTTATGCTCATTAGCCACAAGCGTTGTTCGACGGAATACAAACCCAGCTCCATGGTCTTTGAATATTATATCCCTGCTGCGTTTGAGTCCATCTTCTTCCAGAATTGATTATGATTCAAAGCTTTTCCAAACAACGACATCCTGAGACGAAATAGCTTGCACCTTATAAAATAGATTCGTGGTAGGGGCGGGCATTATTCGTCTGTATCCAAACAGACATGATTGCTTTGGAGGCACTGATTGTGACGTTGACAGGATGGTGTACTATGTTGCAGAATGATCCAGTGGTCAAATTTTCATGATTCCTTTGGTTCTTTTTCTCCTCAATGTGGATTCTCAAACTCTCAACACGTATAATTACCCATGACACGTTTCCAGGCCCGAAACAATGGTTAAAATTTGGAGCTTTTTGGTGGTAGGAAGTCAAGTGTTTGTGGATTGATTGGATAGTGTTGTCAAGCGATGACAAGCTGAGTAGAGAATTGTGGACTGGATTGACTTGAATTAAGACAAGGATTTGGTAACCAAGAGTTCGGTTGATCCTTCAAATTTTGTTAGAGCTGCCTACATCCAGGTCAGCGAGATCATCAGTCCGGCTGGGATTTTGGTACCTCGGACGGAATCTCTTTCTAGTCGTCGGGTCGTCTATCTCCCTTTAATATATGGAACATCATGACATATATGACTATATCGGATAAGGCGCCTCGCTCCAAAAAGGTGGGTAGGTGATAATCAGTAAGTGACGGTGGGTGGCCCATGTGACTACTTTCAAACACATCAACCCTGTACCGCAGGATCCTCCACATTAGCTGTTACCAAACTGTCGGGTCGGTCTCGAAAAGTGGAGATAATTTGATTTACATAAATTCCCACTATTCTTGAGAAGGAAAGTGGGAGGAAGGAAAGGGAAGGGAAAGACCAAGATGGGTCTGGTCATTGATAGTTCGGATATTATTAGGAGTCCTGGTGAAAAAGTATGTACTTTAGATTCATATAGTGAAATTAATCTTTCATGTATATACGTGTATTTTTACAATAGTGTGCTACTGTTCCTTGCCATATAATACATTGTATCTATCCCATGAAAGCGAGCCTCAAGAGTGGTTGTTAAGAATGGACAACCGAAGCCCGCTTTAGGGGCTACACGACGAGATAACGACGTGATGTAAAGAATAAACGCCCGAGTATAGGTTTTGAAACATGGTATAACTGGAAAGATGTGCAATATTGCTTTTGTTGAAGCTTGAGCGGTGTGATATGATAGTAAAAATCTTACTTGTGATCGATTTTTTTGAGGGGGGTTATTGTCATCTTGACATCAAAATGTGTCCCTTCTCCACGGGTTCCCGCACTTTTGGCATGCATTACTCGCATCAAAGAGATCCATCGTATCCCGTGTTATCTTCACCACATTTCAGCTTTCGAAAGCGTGGAAATGAGGCTTACAACCGACAAGCTATTGTGAAATTCATCCAGGAATTTTTTGGCCATGAATGAACGTCCGCAGGGGGTAACCAGACTGCTGGAATTCGATAGAGTTCCTTTTCTCTGTGAAATAGCGGTAAGAGAGTTTGCTTATGTTGGTCAAAGATGATTTGCTGCTTTTCCTTGTAAGTTGCAAGCGCTGACAGCTGTTGGTATTTAGAAAGTAGCGCGCAATGCGATGTACGGCGTGACGCAAAGGCGCAGGTGAAATGTGAATGTTAGTGCCGATGGTAGATGCAACGAATTAGCACAAGGAAACTTGATAAGGTTCGAGCTTTGAACTATGATAGAATCGCGATATATTAAATTTCATTTCAGGGATTCTCATGGTCCACTCGCATCTATTTCCAGAAACGCACTTTGTTCGGGTTCAGGTTACAAGTGGAGGGTATGGTCAGCACGACGTCGAAAAAGGCAAATGTGAAGATTGAGTAAAGCTCTTGGTGACTTGGGGATTGACTATTGGTCCAGAGAGCGTTAGTCTTGAGGAACGATCGAAAAAAGAAACGGTGGTTTCTAGGTAGGTACTGCCATTGGTCCGAAAGGGGCGGAAATACAAGATCATTAAAACTTCATAATTTGGTCGGAGATGCTACCTAGGTATGTCTTGACATCTAAGGCGCAAGAGTGGGATGACCATCTCTTTCAAAGTTTCAAAAGATATTTACCAGGTTTATTGTGGGAAAATATAGACAGAGTAGATAGACCGGGAGAGAAAGCCAACGATGTCTTCTTCATCTAGAATGAAATCAAAATGGCAAAGATATGGATAATACGGATAATGTACTTGAAGATAACAAAAGCATACTAGATGAAGACTAGATAGATACAGAAGTTGAGTATCAGCATCTATTATTATATGTTGCTGATATAAATCTACCTAGCTATCTAGCTACATATTCTGATGGTATAACCTGTAAGCTTGTCGTCGAGTCAGTGAAAACCTTAAAATGGCACATGCTAGCTTCATTAGTACCGGATAAATTCCACACGAAAAAGGATTATGCTTGAAAGGACCATGCAAAGATGTACAGATGTAAAAACGGAAAGTCGACCCCTTGTGCTCCCACATTTTATAGAATCACCAAACTCTTGTGTTATTCTCGATCCACTAAACTACTGAACCATCGCAATGGGACCACTGCGAAACATTCTAGAGGGTTCACCAATATCCAATCATGTTGGTCTTACGTTCCAAGACGGAAATGATATCGAATTGAAATCGATAAGAATCTTCCGGGAATGAGGATCTGGTGTGTAGGTGTGTGTATATGTATATATATGTGTAAAATGTATATGTACACATATGTATGTGTGTTTTACAACATGTGCAGCAACCTCAATGGAGAGAAACACATGGGAGAGATGAGAGGAGGCTGAATTGAACTCACTCTGTTTCTGTGAATAGTTAATCATCTCACAGAATCACAACAAGATTTCTGGATTAAACCAGATAATTGATGAATTAGTCTGTCATCCGCAGTTATTGGCTGTAATAGTACATATTCTGAACCTGTTGAGCATTTTGTCTCCCGGTGCAAGCTGCAACGGGGATGTCATCGATATACTCGAGTATGATATCATTTCTTCATTCATCTTAGTATCTATGGAGTATTGCGAGGGTACACACATACCACCTATCAACTATATCACCGACGTCCTGGGTACTGAATAGGTGTCTCCTTAATCACACCTGAGCTCTGCGCTCAAGAACAGCATTAATTTTTCGGTAAGGGTCACACATATTATCTGTGCATACCAAGGTACCGACCTAATATACACTTCAATTGCACCCGCAGTGACTACATTATTTTACGTCGTAATGATTGGATCCAATAATCTCAAGTCATTCTGTGTTCACTGTTCATCACTCTCTTGTTTATCCACTCCTGTTAAGGTTTTAGCGGCGGGACTAATCCATTTCCTGATTCCATCTCGCTCGCAAGATACACTCCGAATTCACCTAGTCAAACGGTAATTCCGTTAAGTTTATTTACATCGTACTTACCAGCTAAAATCACATAATGTAAGCAATTGAGGTACCGCCAAAAAAAAAAAAGAGAATTAGACAGGTAGAATATTAGCATGCAGAAGATTACCAATGCAGTACAACATTCAGGGATTTTATGCTCGAGAACATCCGAGTTGGAAGGCTGTTGGTTTCTACTTTTCACGCAGTATGTATCCAAAAAAATCATAACCACCAAGCAGACATGAATAGTAGCTAGCTATTTAAGGGAGGAAGAATTAGTGAGACAAGGCTTGAACGGTAAGTTGTGCCGCTAATTTCATCCCGGCTCCGCCCACTTGGATCCTTGTGGTACAATCTTCCGATACCTACCAGCATGGGACAAGGAGTAGATTGGTAGGGAACATGGAACGAAATGATATAGCTTGATGCTTGTAATCTAGGATATGATGTAGCTTTGGAACTTGGGAGGTCTGGTAGGGATCAGGTGTGAGGGGAAATCATTGGAGAATAAGATAGATTTGAGATGGCTGATTGGGGAATTGGAATTTGGAACGAATCTGAGATGAAAGATGTTGGATAAGTCACCAAGGAGTACTCTTACAATAAACCTCGACCTAGGTCTGTAACGACGACCAGCAAGCAGCCAGCTGTTCTATGTAATTTAGGTCTAAATCAAGAAAGTCAATTCTAATTTTGTCAGTGAACTCAACATACATTCTGCATATAATAGCCCATATTTTAACTATATTCAGTATACTAATACACCACTATAATCGTAGAGTTTGTATTGTACCTTGACAATTCGTGTATGGTAGGCATTTGCTAGCTACTCGTTCTTCTCTGTGCCTCTCGTACAAATGCAACCGAGTGGCGTTGAGATTCTGTTTGGCAAACGGAAGCTTCATGAATTTCTCAATGGTAACAGGTAATATTCATGGTATCAAACTCTAGAATGACAACAATAATAGCTAAGAAAAGAGATGTTTGCATGGTGGAGGTGGTGCTGGTGCTGGTGCTGGTCATGAGTGAGCGAGGGGGTGAAGCGTTGTACACAAAACAAGAAATACCAATACCAACAATGTATCTATTGCCAACATTATAACCCAATCAAGTAATCAATCTTTCTTTTTTGGAGACTTTTCTAACCCCACTGATGATGACTTCGACCTCCCTATAAGTAGTGCAAGATTGTAGCCAGAAATATGCATTGCCATAGACCCCGTTGTCTATTGAATTGCAGCTTCAATCTTTTCATCTTCTTTCCCCACGATTGATATCACAAGTACTCTTTGGCTAGACATCCAAACGTCTAGCACTCCTTACTACCGAGCACGCATTTGCCGAATAACGACTACTATTACCAGCATCACCCATCATCAATATTTATTACGCTTTTTATATTCATTTCTCCCCTTTCTTGCACCAGCATCTTTCCAACAATCTCTGGGGAGGAAGTTGAGAATCAATTGCTTCTTCTACCTCTTGTTCCCTTCTTCCTTGATTGGCAATCTAGGCGTGGGACAATACACATCGTTGGCGGTGTCACACAACGATCGCACGGAAATAATTGAAGTACAGGACAGGACAGGCAGGACAGTAGTAACCTTGCAATCACTGCACACTGTACTCTGCACACTATACAGACCATAGTTCAGCAAACTATCGTACAAAAGGTTTCTACTCGAGGACTTTGGGAATACCACCTCAAAAATCCATTTTGGAATACCACCTAGCAGAAGTGGGGGATGGGAAGCAAAGTACCGCGACCAAAAATACAAAACAAGCTCTCCATCTCTACCCAGGTATACATCCATCCATACATCCATATATCCATCCATCCATCCATAAATCCATACACACGCACATCCGACCAATCCAAGACCATATATTCGACTCGACCCAATATTTCTTTCAAAACAGAACTTTCTGAAACTTCTCCCAGCTGTTCCGGAGCTTAGGACCATTCAAAATATGGATTGTTAGGATCTCATTGGATTTCGAAAATTTGGGAACTGTTGATCATTGTCTTCCCCAAGACTTACTATTTATGAATCTTTCACTCATCTCATCTCGTCCACGGGTGGTCTCATCTCCAGCGCTCTGTCCTTTTTGAGCTCTGGTGGGTCTACCAAGTATTCAATTATAGAACAGCGAGCGAGCTACATTTCCTAGCTACCTTATTACCTAGTAGAACTTTTGAACTATTCATAATCACATCACAGCCAAATCCACAACCAAATATACAACTGACAACCAAATCTACAATTGACGACCAAATCTACAATTGACAACCAAACATCCAGCTCACAACCTGTCAATCATCGTCAATCATCGTCACCATCGTCACCAGTCTCTGCTATTTGCTCCCGTGGACGACCATTCTCCACCATTTACCACCACAACCCACCACCACAGCCAACCACTGGATCAGCCATTGACACTTAATTCAACCCTTGAACCCTATCAAATTTACGAATTCGAACCCCAGAGCCGAGATATATCACTGGCATTATCATTATCCACGGGCGTTACCCGTTACCTGTACGCCCTAACTTTAAAAAAAGTTACTACAGACAGTTACGGCGAAGCACGACAGGGGCCCCAAAAAAAAAGTCAAAATAGCTTGCTTTACCGCCGTCAGGTAACTAACTAGTAAGAAGAACAAGCTCGAACCCATAAGTAATTCAATCATAGTTTTGACACTACTACCACCAGTACCACAGTTCCACGCGGCTCCTCTTTAGAACACCTAGATCAACATCATTCGAGAACCATTTTTGTATTTCCATGAGAGGCAGCCATATAGCAGATTACTCAGGTCGGATACCAGAGTCAGCCAGCAGACAGGGAGCTCAGGAAGCAGAATACAGGCGATATACTCCAGTAATATAGTGGCTGCATGGCAATATAAACCATTCGAAACCCCCTCGACATTTCCAATCGACCGGCACATACTGAAGAAGAATCCGACATCAACAATTTAGTATCGCATATAAAAGCTTCATCTATGCTACAGAGTTAGCAGCATAAGCAAAGGCTGTTCGCGACAATAGATCTTGAACCGGAATTTACTTAATGGTTGTTGCAATGGCCATGGCTAACAATGGGTACGTGCTTCTTTCTCCATTCCTCTCTGCTCTCAAAACCACTCGCTGGGTATCAGCAGAAGCTTTCGCACATGCCAATTGTATCGAAAACTACTAAATGAGATTGTGGGCTGCATCCTCTCCGTTATTGCTCTTTGCATCCCGATTTTACGCATGCGCTGACAGAATTGAATTACATAGATCACTTTCTCCTGCCACTCCTGCGGCTTTCCAAGAGCCCCCACCCGATTACATTGAAAATGGACGCCTGTATCATGGACTACATAAAGGAAAATACATGTTTCCTTGCGACGAGGTAAATGCGCCAGGTGTTGTTAGGTGGGATATTGCACACGACTAAATGCTGATATACATCCACAGGATGAGAAAGATCGGATGGATATATTTCACAAATTTTTCGAAGTCGCAATGGGAGGTGTATTGCACTCTAGGAATACCACGTTTACGAATAATTACGATGGGCCACGAATTCTGGACTTAGGGACAGGCACCGGAATATGGGCGATTGATATGGCCGAGTAAGAATAAGATTTTGTCTCATTTGAGGCCATAAGTCTGCAAAACCAAGGGACTGACAACTTCGGTATATAGCAAATATGGTTCAGATATGGGTACAGGTGAAGTTCTCGGGCTTGACCTAGCTAGAATACAACCTCCAACGTAAGAATTCACGAATCTTTCCTTCCGAGCAATGTCACATACTAAGTATTACTCCAGTATTCCCGAAAATTTACAGTTTTTACAAAGAGATATAGAATCGCCTTGGTGGGGGCTCGAAGTTGAGTCGTGGGATATGGTTCATATACGGATGCTTTCCGGGAGCATCAATAGCTGGCCTGCATTATACCAAAAGGTCCGCAGGTAAGGCTTCCCCATCTCACATCCCCTTCTACAATACATGACTTTACCTAATACGAACTGGTAAGGTATCTCAAGCCTCAGGTGGGCCGTTTCGAGCAGGTTGAAATAGATTTTACTCCTCGCTCAGATTTCGGGGACATTCCAGCCGACTCGGCGCTGGCTACATGGGCGCGGAACCTTTTCGAAGCTACTCGGCGCAATTTTCGACCTCTAGCTTATAATACCGAGATTCGAGCAATGCTTCAGAAAGAAGAGTTCCTCGATATTCAAGAACAAGTGATACGAATTCCCCTTAATCCATGGCCCGATGATCCACAAGAAAAGGATGTTGCAAGATGGTACAATCTGGCCCTCACCCAGGGACTGGAAGCAATGACGCTTGGGCCCATGCACAGAATATACGGGTGGTCGAAAGATGATGTCACAAGGCTGATTACAGAAGTGAGGAGAGATATTTGCAATAGGAAAATCCGCGCTTATAATAATTTGTGAGTATTCTCTCTCATATTCAGATCTGTCAAGGGTTCACCTGAGCCGATTTTGAAAGACAAAATAACTCGATTCGGACTCTCAATTCGATATTGCACTGCCTCGTTGAGAGTACCCAGGTATTATGAGTTCACTAACTTATTTATAATGCAGGCATGTATGGACTGCACGCGCACCGGTTAAACCCCCTTCATAGACGTCTTTGAGGTTTCAAGAAGTTGGAAATTACAAACGAAGACCGATTGGTCAATTTGGTTTGGATCGGCGAACTTTAAGTTTTTTTTCGGATATTGCGATCAATTTCAACCAGGGTTTTGGTCCAGCTTTTCATACCGAACCTTGCCTTTCGGCCTGGCGCGCTTTTGAGGCTAGGACGGATGATGAATGAATTTTATGGGATGGTACTTTATGCGCATTATTGTTGGATGCGCGCGCATATTATATGCACCTTAAGCGCCTGTAAGAATACGGATCGTCATTGAGAGTTGTTGGGGATTCGATGTACCCACGGCTGATTGACCGAAAATGCTCGGTACATCCGCAAAGGATCATATGAGAGGACGGCGAAGTGTGGGTGGCAATCTATACCTCAATTCTTATAGGATATTCAAGGGAAGGGGCGGACCGAAGCGTATACGAAGTGTGGCGGGCATAATCATGGATTGGCCCGAGTACAAACACAGCAGACTGTTGCTCCCAAGATTTCGGGTCAAGCTTGCCTAAAGCGTAATGGAAATGGGTTACACGAAGCCTTGGTAAAATTGAGAGGCGCAGCACGACATGAACCCGACAATTCTTGGACTGCATGCTACAGAATTTGGTAATTTAAAATACCAAATTACCTGTGGTTTCTGACGTGTCGGTTGTATGGTGGAAAATGAGGAAATGAATGTGCTGGCCGTTGCACAACTCATGAAGGTTACATTTTTTAATTTCAACGGATGAGAAAGAACAATTGATTGGTCAATTTTGTCCCATCATTATAGATCCGAGATATGGTAGCGAGAGCCAACAATGAGAGCGCAGCCGACGCACGGAACATCAATAAATGTGCACAAACACATACACATCATACACATACACACGCTTGCTTACTTCCTCTTCTCACGCTTCTTCCTCAGCATTTTTTTATATAAAAAAAGTTACAATTTCCGTATTCAGTATTGAAAAGTTTAGAGGGATTGGATGAACTTCTCAGTTGGTGGACACTGGGTAAACGGTTAGAAGTAGACGATTAGCACGTACTCTACTTTTGGATTCGTCTGCAGCTTTTTAACGATTATACCCCAATGCATTCTATGTTTTTACTTTCTCCTTCCATTTGGAGGGGTTGATTCATTTGTTGGTTTTTTTTTCACATGGGTTTTGTTCAATCTTTCTACAAGTATCAGCATAAGCATTGCATATCGATTTTCATTTATTTTTGATGATATCCCTCTTGCAGTTTTTTTCCCCCAATTTTTGTTGAAGATGATTTGGAATTCCAACAGCATATGCCCACCGCACGTGCATGCATAGAATCTGGCATGGATGGGATCGGGATTTGATTTGAAAAGATGAATGGACGAATGGATAGATGGATGGCAGTAATGGACGAATGGATGAACGAAAAGACGGATCTATACATCCGATTAATCTTTTTTTATCTCTCTCCTTTTGGTTACTACGCTGGAGGAAATTATTGCATACCCATCTATCTATCGATCTATCGATCTATCTACATCTGCTTACCTACTTCCCCATACTTATGTACTTATGTACTTACTTGACTTTGTAAATATATACATCTATCTATCTATCTACCTATCATGTGTATATACATATATACCTACACATAAAACCGTTACGGTACGTATTTGTAGTGTCAACCTGCGTATCGCATATAAGAACCCATTAGAAAGAAGTGGAGAAGTGGATTTGTTTGTGTGACAGAATGGAATGGTGGGTTTATTTACTTATTAAGTTTAGAGAGGATAATGGGAATTGTGTTGGAGATGCCCTCAGGATATTTATGTATGTATGTAATGTTATATTTGGTATAGATCTCTGCATGCCGTGTGTGTGTGTAATTGTATGGTTTAATATGTAGGTATGGATAGTTGAAATGGGCGGGGCTGATGTATTGGTTTACTAGTGTGTGTAGAGTAGAGGAAATGAGGATGTACTGGAAAGAGGGAATGGAATTTTGGGGGAATGTGTGGTTAGTTTGAGGGGTGGGTGGGTGGATAGAGGGATGGATGGATGGGGAGTAGAGGGTGCTTTGGGATGAGATGGGGTGGGATGAAATGGAGGGAATGGGAGGAAAAGTATAGCCTTGGTGTTAATGTTACAGTTGCGCTTATTTTGAGGGTCGGGGCTGGGGCGGGGCTGGGATGGGATGGGATGGGATGGGTGGTGCGGGGCGCTGGGGTACTGGGGGATGGGGAATGTGGGAGGGGGGGACTGGGCGCTTAACTTTTTGTTGGTGATTTGGTGGATTTCTTTTGGGGGGTAGAGATGGAGAAGGGGGGAGAGGAGGGGAGGGGATGTGTGATTTTGATTGTGTCAGTTTTGGAGGAGGAGAGCTTGATTTTGAGTTGGAGTGAGAGTGGTCTTGATGGGGTGAGGGGAAATCGCGGGGAGTGGAATTGGTGGATTTTTTATTTCTATTTCTTTGGGAGAGAGAGAGGGGGAGAGGTAGGGAGAACTGGGCGGGTGAGAGGTGAGAGGTGACGAATGAGGAATGAGGAGTGAGGAATGAGGAGTGAGGAATGAGGAATGGGAATTGAATAGCTGAGAAAATTGATGTGGAGGTGATGGGAGTTTGGAATATAAGATAATGAGAAGATGGGATTTATGTTGTGTGATGAGATTAGAGAGTTGTTGGAAGGTTTTTTGGGTTGGCTTGGAGTTTAGATGGAGTTGTGTTTTGGGGGTTGGGTGGATGATGGGGGTAAAGGGGGAGGGGAGGAGGGTAGATTTTGGAGAGATGTGGATGCATGGATGGGGATGGGGGTGGATTTTATATCTTCTTTGCGGGGGGATTTGGGTGAGCGGTGATATGATATGATATGTATGTATGATATGAGTGGGAAAGAATCTAGATTTGAAATATATATATATATATGGAATGGTCGAGAGTTGATATGATATGAAATTTAAACGGGGATATAGATACATAAAAACAAAAACAAACAAACAAAAAAGAGAAAGAAAAAACAATACCTCACTATCTCTCAGAATTGTATATCTCTGGATAGATAGAAGCTCATCTATATACGCAGCATGGAGATATATTCTCAGGAAGGGTGTAGATAGGTATTCATGTGTATAGGTGTGACTCGTAAGTTAGATGGGTTAGGTAGGGGATTTTATGAAATTCGAGGGATTTTTGAGAGGATGGGTGGATGTGTATGATTATATTGATTTTTTTGAGGAGGGGGGAGTTTTGGGGAGGAATTTTTTTGTATATGTGTATATGTGTATATGTAAGTTCGTATGATATCTATACTATATAATATATATAAATCTCCGATTAAGAATCAAAATTTTATATAGTCTGTAAAACTATGTAGGTATATATATCTCCCTATCGATATCTTCCTAACATAAGGTTAATTCCTGCTATACAAATCCGAGTTTCGTTACAGAAACTGAGTATACTACCTCATCTTTACATTTTCGAGAGTCTGGTTCATGAGACATCAAGTAATCTTACATCCATCATGATAAATAAAATATGGAAAATAAGTAATCTATTTTTGTATATAAGCTAGAGAGCTTTGACTAGTACTACGTCTCTCTCTCGGTGACTATGTGTATCGGATGGATTTGCTTTCCGTTGTGTAGAGGTATGGTTCTTGGGGTATTTGGATATTTTCTGGACTCTTTGGAGGAGAAATACTCTGTATTTTATATTGAAGTCGGAGATTGGGGTGCAGTTGGATATAGGGGTTTGTTGTGGAGAGTACTTGTTGGGAGAAGGTTGGGCTTGTGTGGGAGATGGGATGGGATGGTTGAGAGGGGTGGATGGGTGGGTGTTAATTTGGTTTGGTATGGTTTGGTATGAGGAACAATTCTGATTTTTTGATGGAATAGATAGGTGAATATGTGCATGGTATTGGTGGTAGGGAGTTTAGAGATGATAGATGTTTTTCACGGAGGAGGGGGGATGATTCTCTGCTTCTTATTCCTGGGCGGTGAAATCTAGGGAAGTGTATGAGATCTATCGCGGGTTATGTACACAATTACTATTTCCACTGAGAATCATACTCAAACTCTGCTTCTGTGTGATTACTGCATTTTTTATATATTGATTTTTATTCTGTTTGCTTTGTAATCTTACAAGATATCAAGTTTCAATAGGGGGGGAATTCCTCTCCGGTTCTTTTCATTTTGCTTTTATAGAAGCTAGATTGGAGGGTTTCAAAATGATGTTTTAACTCTTATGTGTATCTGAGGAAGATTTAGATTTGAATGTGCATATGTTTGGGTTGAAACGCCTCCCTTGCTAATCTCTCGATGCAGGAGATTTGAAAGCCCACTTTTGGAAATTTGTGAAGCAAATACTCTCTCGAGAATGTTTGTTCTCGAATACATACGCCTTATCATCATATTTCTCTTAGAATTTGGTGTTGGTCTTGCTCACATCGGGGTTTCCACGCCGCATTTTGTAAAGGGCTTCGTAGATGCCCAATTTTATATTTCAATATTTCGGATTTTGTAACAGAGAAGTTTAGTGATGAGATGGACATTGAATTCCTTTTGTCATCATAATATCATGACTAAAGGTTAGGCGTTCACAAGTGAGCTTGATAATTGGTGTACGTATTACCTGGCCATTATCGATGGATGGAATTCCGTCTCTCGTAGACTTTGGAAGTAGGTACGAGAGTTTTAAATGCCGAAGTCTGCCTCTTTGATGCCGCTAAGCTGGTTCCCTTTACGCCTACCTAGTACCCAGGCAGGCTATATATCTTACAGAAAAGAAATGGGAAAACAAGTCGCGGAGTGTTGGGGACGTTGCTTGACTACCCTTTGCCACGTAATGCCACTAGGATTTTCAATAATCAGACTTGAATATCAGTGTAAAATGGGTGTTCTTTCAATCAACACAACTCCCTTTAGCCGCTCAGGTTGTTGTGAATATTCTACACTCCCCATCGAAATCCACTGTTCATATACTCAAAATTCCGCCATATCTGACTACTAGGTAGATATCAAGAGTTGTACTTCAAAGATAATCGACTAAACTCTTGGCACTTTCTTTATTTGTCCGCAGCATTGTGTACTCTCACATTAATCGATAGTTGTGAGGAGTTACCTATGTAATGTGACTTCGGCACTGAAATCACAGGGAGTCTTATGCCGCAGTAAACATCGTCTCTCATTTGCTTCGGCGCGAGTCATGCCAACAACCCCCTCCTTCTTGTTTCATGCATCTGGCTTTTGGATTACGACGAAGTGTACTGAATTATATTGTCAGTTATACTTATGCTGATGATTATCAATTCTTCTCCTGTTGAGATCGTAAGTCGGTAGTTTGGTAAGGTTAGGATAAAGTCAAAAATCGTGAATAAGCCACTTGAATTCTCAAACAGGCCTATCAACGCTGTTTTACCTTCTCTGAGAATCAGTACTATGAGAACATTCATTGGCTCGCTCGCTCTCCATGTCCTTCGCAAAAATAGCCATTGTTGGATCCACCGATGAATGCCGTCAAAAGTGGGAGGAAAACTCGATTATCATGGTTGCGCCCAGATTGACGGGTACATATCATGGGGAAATTACAGGGATTTGTCATCCTGCAGAAAGAAAGTCATCATCGCGATAAACATGGGGGAAAGTCTTGATGGGATTGGATGGAAGCTCTACGCCCTCAAAGCCACAATATTGGTCTTTGATAATACTCATGCTTCTTAAGCCCGTCAGCGGTTTGATATCTTTTCTGGAATTGAGTGAGTAATGAGAGTTTCATGGCATCGTGAGTCTTCACAATACCAGAAGAGCCTCCTCGAGAGAATGGGAAAGAAGAATAAATGGAGATATAATAATCGAATAGGATGTGACCACGAGATTATGGGTTTTATATACGACGTGGGTAGGTAACGAGAGCGGAGATGCCTCCGTCAAAATCAAGGGTTGCTCAAGGATCCATGTAATGGTCGGCTATTGCGGCCGATCAGGAAGTAGTCGGCCGCTTGAAGAGCCGATTGAAGAGCCGACTATCACAGGATATAAGGAAATAAAGGATGCCAAGTCCTTAAATCCGGAAATCCTTCTTTCGCTTATGTAACCCAAAAGAGACTGACAAAGAGTGCAGAAGCTCTGACCTTGTGATGTAAGTAACCTTGTTCAGTCCAAAGTTGTCTTCAAACATCACCAAGCATTGTATGACATTGTCATGTCCATGGATGTTCGAAGGGCGCAATATTTATATTTATATTTACATTTACATTTATAATCATGTCAATCATTTCTTCTTTTCAACCCATCTAGCCATCTAGGAGAAAATACCCCTATACCCCTTATTCAAAATGAACTACCATTCGCCGAGTTGAAATCTCAGCTGCTAGAGAAACTCAAGGCGTATCGTTATTGGCCACACGCTTTTATCCATGGAATGCTTTCTAAGAATCAAGCCAAACTATGATCCAAAGCAGTAAAGTCAGAGATCAATCATGACGATATGACACGGCACTTTCTATCCGAACTCACTCAACCACACTCAACTACTACTACGGAGTTAGTCTAGAAGATGCCGATTATCCACAATTGTACGAATTGCCAATGTATAGACGTAGATCCCCCGCCCCCGATTCATTCTTCTTCAACAATCCTCATCTTGACAATTGTGTTGTCATTCAAGATAGATGGATCGAATAAAGCGCGTCCTGTCAAGGCCAAATGCGAAGCCATACCGCACGAAACATATCAACGATGACCAGCCATACATAAATGAAAATGGGCATCTGGATTTCGGACCAGGGGATATCGAGAATCCAAAGAATTGGTCGACCACGAGACGATGGTATATTACCGTGGTAGCAGTTTTGCTCGTCGTAAATGCAACGTTTGCATCGTCAAGTCCATCGGGATGTTTGACAGGAATCGAGGCAGAATTTAATATCTCTGCCGAAGTCGCAGCGTTGGTCATCTCGGTGTTCCTTTTGGGATATTGCTTTGGACCTTTGTTCTGGGCTCCATTATCAGAATTCTTTGGACGAAGATGGATCTTTTATATCTCGTTTACCTTGTACCTGGCATTCAATTTCCTCTGTGCTTTCGCCAATAATTTCGCAGCTCTCTTGATAGGACGATTCATAACCGGTACCATGGCCAGTTCGCCACTTTCAAATGCGCCTGGAGTTCTCGCCGATATTTGGGGTCCTGTGGAAAGAGGGAATGCAATGGCTTTGTTCTCAATGATGACCTTCGCTGGTCCAGCTTTGGGTCCTGTCATTTCTGGCTTTCTCGAATTGAAGAAGGATTGGAGGTGGAATTTCTACGTCATCTTATGGCTTGCTGGTATCACCGAACTTTTGATGTTTACCATACCAGAGACTTTACCTTCGAAAATATTAGTAAACAAAGCTAGGAGAATAAGGGCATTGAACATTCCAGGTTACGAAAACGTCAAGGCTCCTGTCGAAGATAGCGATCGCACATTGTGGCAGCTTTTCAAGGTCGCACTCATCAGACCATGGCAACTCCTCGTCGACCCAATCTCGTTCGCCGTTGCGGTTTACTTATCTGTCGTGTATGCTCTACTGTATATGTTGTTCACCATTTATCCTATCATTTTCCAACAGAAGCGTGGTTGGAATTCTGGAGTGGGAGAACTACCATTGATTGGGACAATAATCGGAGCCTTCATAGGAGGTGTCGCCATCTTTATGGTGTCTTCTCGGGATAGAAAGAAGTTGGAAGCTGGTCATATCGGAGTAGCAGAGGATCGTTTACCAGTCGCAATGGCCGGTGGAATCATTTTTCCAATCACCATGTTTTGGTTCGCGTGGTCTGGAAATTATAATGAAGTGCACTGGATTGTTCCCACTCTTGGAGGGGTATTCCTCTCCACTTCAATTCTCCTCATTTTTGTCGCCTATCTCAACTACCTGACTGATACATACCTGATGTATGCCGCGAGTGCCGTTGCTGCAAATACTGTTTGCAGATCGGCAGCTGGTGCCGCAGCTCCAGTATTTACATCATATATGTTCGATGCTCTCGGCGTCGGTGGTGGTGGCTCACTAATCGGTGGAATTGCCGTTCTTCTCGCTCCGATCCCCTTTTTGTTTTATAAATATGGTGGAGCTATCCGAGAACGATCTAAATTCGCACCCACGCCTACGAAGAAACCTTCCATTGGAGAAGCTGTCGGCAATGAAAAAAATCGCGATACTGCTCAACCTTCACCAAACAGAACGACTCAAGATAGGACCAGTATCAGCTCTGAGTCATCATCAAGTATAGCAAGCATGCCGACTTCCCCACGTGAAGATACTTATCATCAAGAAGGATATATTGAGGAGGGAATGGGATATGGACGAGTAGCACTCCCTAGTGATACGAGAGCACATGATGCTGGACAACTTGCAAGCGAGAAGTAAGAAGTTGGGCTACAGGGTAGAATGTGTATCGTGTAATTATTAGAAATGTTTTGTATGATCGTAATTAGCGCGGAGCAAACGTGGAATGTCAGGCATGGCGATGGCGTTTTAACATGAAGATGATGGCGAATCTAAACTTGGCGATGAATAGATGAATATATGATTTTCTTTGACTCATATTTAAATTCGCTGTGTTGAAGTCAATTCGAGGAGCATTCTTGCAGGAAACGAGAGGAACGGATGTTGCTTAGGTTGTCGTGTCAGCGGGGCAATCAGCATGCGAGTTATGAATCCTTCTACACCCGGCCTCATTACTCGCCATAAACCTCGTTCCCACCCACACCCTACCAGTAGAGATTTTAGATTGCGCATCCGAATCAACACAGTATTACCAACTCAATCACAAACAATCTATCTAGGAGAGTCGTCGCGATCTGCAAGACTGAGCAATAGCTTAGAAACCACATTACCTGACCTCAACTATTCGATACTTCATTCTGCACCACTTGATTCCATCGATCCGCTCATCCTCAGTTTGTTTCCACATTTGCTTTCCAAATATCGTTCTAGAGGAGAATTCATCAGTCTCAAAAAATGTGTTAGTATTAGTTTCATCGTCCTTTATTGCTTATAGATAGATCACTTGGCTCACTTCTGCTATTCTCCAAATCCTCCGCTTCTCTATCCCGGTAGAAATAAGCTCAGCAGAGCGGAAACTCTCAACAGCTTTTTCGGAATCCGTCGGTTCTTTCGAATGTGTAGCAGGAATTAAGGATAAAAAGAAGTCGGATAATTACTAGTTCTTCTCCTGTTTTTCCTTCATCTTCGTCTTTGGCTGACTAGCGCGGTGAGGATAATATTCTGGATCTTCAGAGATGCGAGATGTACTTTAGGATTTTGACTTTATTGCCGGTTGTAGACGCGTATACATGTTTGGGTTTTAGAGAGTGTTGTTGTTTTGGAGATGAAGTTGAAGCACCTTCTCGTGGAATTTTATTGGATATTCGTATTTTGAGGAGATTCTATGGATGGATTGGTAGAGTTCTCTATTGAGATAATCTCTGAGTCTTGATATCCTGTGCAAGTTTTCGGTGGATGGATTATTCATCTGAGTAAGTGATTATTTCAAGAGCTCCGATCTTTTGCAATCAAGCTAATTGCACAGGGATATCCCTCACCGTGAGAGCTTCTGATGATCAGCCTTTGATATCTGGTCTGGAAGGCTAGAAGATCCGCATAAGAAGTTGATAGGACCATCATCGGGTTTTTGGAAGATGTGAATTAAGATCCGCAGACCGAGAAACCTTCTTCCCCTCAGTCTGCAGATTTTGTAAACGAAGCGGAGGTTGTCGGGGTTCTTCTCGTACGTACATGTGTATATGTAGATGGGCTTAAGAACCCTCGCGTAATTTAAGGCCAGAACGTGGCTCTCAATTTGGCGTCTTTTGCGTTTTGGCTTATCGGTCGGCTCGGGCGAGTGTTTGGAAATTTGTTTTCCTTCTCTCAGGGGGATGCAGATCTACTTCGAAACTTGCGGCTACCAGGAACTCAGGTTGAGTATTGGGGTGAGGTTCTGCCTCAAACAGAAGCTCAAACCCAAGCTGGAAAAACTTGTGGTTTGCATGATATCCTAATACTCTCCATCTTACACCATGGAAACTTCAACCCGTCTGAATCTTACGAGAAGCATTCTCATAATACCCGATTTCAATATAGTGAAAGGATCTATAACCTCCTCGGCCATTCATGGTTCCCCATCTTGCAATTCGCATCCGAAATCAAGCAATTATATGAGCAGACTTTCCATTCCCTCTCCGGGCGCCGTTTTGCATACCATCTCCCCCAAATCCTTCTATTCTCTCCTAGCATATTCTCACATCTCCATCTAAACCCCAAATAGATAGCGCATTTTCCGTAACACGTTACACATGTGATTAGTATATGAAATTCTCGGATCACATTCGCCACTTCCTTCACACTGTTTCAAAGCAGCTTCCGCAACTAAAGCTTTGGGTATCTTTGCATCGAGATTCTAACGAAGCCGCACGCTTGAACTGGGGAGTATGCTTGTGATTATTACTTAAAAGGCCAGTAAATTCGAGAGACAAGGTTCTCGTATTGTCATCTTGGTCGGTTTCAATGTTCCAAGGGAGATCCAATGCTTGTTCCTGACCATATCGTTGAGTTTTGAGATGGTTTTGATTCTCGAGTTGGACGAATTTTTTGCGTGCGCTGAGTTTTGGAGAACTCGTGGTGTGTATCTTACTGGGTACCTAGACAATCTAACTTTCGATTACTTAGTATCTAGACGCCTCCCAGCAGATTGTTTGGAAGCTTGAGTATACACCCGTGGTAGATTTTAAAGATCTTTTATTGTTGATGATGATCAAAAAACTATATTTGGTTTGTTGATGAAAGCCTGGGTATCCCGTCCTTGGGTTTGCAAAAAGATTGCTCCGTGAGAAAGGGGGTTACCTACCTAGGTAGGTACTGAAAGTATGATAGTGATTCTCAGACAGTGAAGCGAATTTCGGGTTGGTACAGCTGCCGCTAGATTTCCGCTTTATCTTGCTGTGTGAGTGCGAGACTTGGATCAGTTAATATGACTTTTCTGTTCCGAGACCCGCCGAATGTTTTATTAAAGTTTTATTCCTGTAAGTAGTTCATCTTCCCCTCCATTTCGTCCAAACTAGGCTTATATACAAGCATCCGCTTAGCTAACTCCTTTATCTAATACTGCCATTTCTGACCTATAATTTACATACAAGCATCGTTTTTGTATACCGAAATGGCCACGATCCAAACATCATCAGCTTAATTCATTACAATACTTATCAAGAAATATCTTGCCTTGCATCCTTCTGATTCTTTGTCTGAAGATCTTGTCGATCGAAAGGAAGACTTTTGTGAAGAGCATCTTGTATAGGTATCTAAATTGAAAAGTAGAGCCCTGCTACTCAGCTTGCGGCTGGATCTCGCTTGAGGAACCTAGATATGTTATCCACAACTCTGAAGATTTCTGAGAAGTGTATGGCCGCTGCAAAAGATCTGGTCTTTGGCGTTACTGTTATTGATGCGGTGACAGTTCTCTTGCCTGGTTTCATGTTGATTTTGTCGGATTCGTTTGGGTGGACGAATTTTGACTGATTGGGGAACGGTGAAAAGGGATTTGTCAGTAGATTATTCTTGAGATTTTTAGTATTGTTATACCATATTGCTCTGCTCTTGAATGTTTATGATACTTTACGGTATCACCTTACGGAGACCCTGTGATCGTTCTATCGGACATAAAAATCTTGAAATCAGATCTAATCTTGATGAGTAATTGAGTGAATTAGAAATGACGGGGCTAAATCTATGAGCCTGGTATCCTTGCAAATATTCCTTACAGCTGTGTATAATTCACCAATAGAATATTGAAAAGGGAGAGTTATTAATAGAAAAATAAAGCCGATGAGACTTATTTCACAAATCTGTCACCTAGCTTCGCGCACTCGAAAGAGCCCATAACACCTTCTTAATATCCGCAAAGCCATCTTTGTCAACATTTACGACAGACAAAATTCGCAATGTCTTCGCCCGAGAAAGTCATGGCTTCCTAGCTGGCAAGGTCAACCAACTTTGTGGACTCTACGGTTTCGAGACAGTCAAATATTTCACATCTCCGACTTGCGAAAATGTTTTTCTAAATTTGACCAACCAGGAAGGTAGTGATTGCGATGTTACCGCAAACATGGGGTTGAAAGATGGCTGCTTCGGAATCAGGGGCTGTCCAGTATTCAAAAATCGGGTTGACCTGCTTGGGAGACGGGAATCGAAAGCTGATCTGTTTTCTCAAGTCATCAAATGGTTCCAGGTATGTCCGAGGAAGAAGCTAGACAAGTACCGGAGATCGTCATCTTATGCTGACGGACAACCTTTAGGACAATAGCGCGAAGCTACCCATGAGTTATAAAGAGGAAAAACTTTATATTAGTCTAAATGCGAAGATGCAATGCTCGGGAGATCAAGACCAGAAATTTGCGGACGAATATGAGACTTTCATGATCAAACGAAGCTAAAATCCGCGGTCATCTTGTGTCCAAGGATCGAGTCGGGGTCGTTGTTTCTGGAACAACATCAAACTCTGGTCTCCCTAATGATATAGCACAGGTAATTTCACTACTCCCAGTACTTTGTCTCTATTCTATGTTTTTCAAGGCTAACACGTCGCTTAAACTTTTTACAGCTCCATATCACCGACAACAATACTGGCCGCGGAATAAAGAGGGCTAGAGAGGAAGACACGGATATGCCTGACGGCGATGTGGAAGTGCCACGAAAGCTAAGCAAACAAGGAAGAAAGAGAGCGGCAAGAAGAACGAACATATTAGCGATCGTGGCAGGTTCCCAAGATCAGTCCACGCAAAGATCATCGTGAGGTTCGGCACTAGGGTTTCCCTCAGTGTAGTTTTGCCTTCAGCTGGGGATAATCAATATTGTTCCAGTCTCTGGACTGTTGCTGCGATAAGGATTGATAATTTCATAATTAAACTGGTGTCCAACGATCACTAGTTCTTTTGAAAAAAGTTATAGACTTTGCAAGTTCGAGGCTGAGCAGCGGGCAGCGGGGGTTATCATATTTGTAACATATACTTCAAGATTTTATCAGATCCCTCTTTTGACCATCAAGTGATTTTAATTATATTAGCTCTAGGAAGTTCTACTACACATACAAGCCCGTTCTCATCATTAATCTTATCTCTGTGGTGTCCTCCTCGAATTAGAATATTTCCCCTTTCATACTTCGGATAATATCACAATCCGGGGTTTACCCGTGATTTCCACACCACAAGATAGGTACCTGTGATTTATGTGCTCTCGAATGGTTTCATGTTCCATGCAAATATATCCTATGAACAAACCTTTATCAATGTGCTAATTCAGGACTTGAGATCCAGATTTCGTTCTCATCTCTGGACACTATTTTTCGGGAACACTGTGAATCTTGACGGTATAAAAATCTTGAGATTATGCTGAGCTTGTTTTATTTTATCACTTGGCCTACCTAGGTAGATGACCTGTTGAATCATAAGGTAATTTTTGTTACAACACGGAAATTAGTCTATGAGAGCATGCACAGTTGTCTTTCACGTGGGTTATGGAATAGCAAAGTTTGTGGTTAGGTAGTATTGATATTCATGTTATCCTAACAAAAGTCTTTTAACCGAGTAGACTATGAGATCCCTTCAATCAACGATGATAGTTAATATCTTGATTGATTTCAACTCCGCCAACCCTTCCCCTCAGACCAAACATCAATCTGTTTACTGAATTTCTTCAAACTCCGCTATATAGCTCTAGAGACCAGTAACTGTAGCCCCGGGCTTCTCCCAAAGTTGAACTTCGGCTATGAGTATGTTCCTATACATCACCACCAGTAGTGTAGGCTTGTTTATTCGCTTATTACAAGAGATCCTTGGCTTCCATATCCTGCATGTCTATGTTAGTACAATTTTATACCTCAAGCTTTAGCTAAGTCTGTGGATTGGGAAAGCTTACCTTGAACCATTGAACAAGCTTGAGTCGAGCATTGACAATTGCATCGTTTTGTCTATAGAAAGCGCCATTTTCATCGCTTCTAAATTCAGGGAGAGTCTTCAAAGATAGAGAAGCTGCCGTGGACATTCATGATGGCGGTATGGATATTTCGATCGGAGTAATGGATAGTATCCGGACATCAGTGAGCTTGAGAGAAATAGTGAGTCTGTATTGGAGCGATAGTACGCCTTCTTCTTTGAGCAAGTTGTCATAAAAGATTGGGCACATCATATTTGCAGTTGTGTGTGATGAAAATTGTTTGAAGGTTTGAAGTACTGATTTGGTGGAGAGGTAATTTGTTTGATGACTTTTGGATTCTCGATGACTTTGGAAGCTGGATGGAGAAGTAAACTGGAAGATACAAGATTTAGAAGCTGTTGGAGAGCAGCAGTGTTGGGTGCTAAGTACTCAGTAGAAGGAGCCTTTCAAACTGATGAAAACCACACCAGCGCCGTATATACAAGCAAACCGTACCAGATTACAAAGATTGACAGAAGTACGGTCAAATGAGATGAGCATGAATCATCTTGGTGCAGTATGACCGTACCAAAAATATGATGGATACGGAATCGCGCTTTCGTTGATTCACGCTTCACATTTTTCATCTTGACCAAAGTCAAAGAAAGGACATTCACATCATGAGATATGTTCGAAGTGTCGATGTAAATGCCCTCATCTTTTTCGTAATTCTGGGTAAATGAATCAACCACATGAGATACACATAAAACTCTGATTGTGATAGTGGCACAGAAACACTACTTGATTAGCCAACATATCTTATTCATATATCGTATTAGGATATACTTAAGTATCATCGCCGCTGTGTGCCTCAAGACTTTCTTGCTAGACCCTCACGGAATATGTACTCATTCGAATCATGCAGCAATTAAAAATCAATTTGGGAACTACCCTTTGGCGTTGTTTCGAAATTTAAATCGAGTCCCTGTGTTTATATACTATTTATATTGGGGCATCATAGTGAACTTCTGTTGCGTTACTACTCGACTTTAGATTCGTCAAATTGCGGGTAATTAAAATGGGGCAAGGTTTTCTAAGCGAGTGTGGACGAGACGAGAACAACGACATCGGTCAGCGAAAAGTCTTCATCGGCGTTGCCCCCCAAAGAATAAAATATCAAATGAAACAATCAATATTATATTTTATTTCTATTCTAAAGATAGTACTTACAGCGAGCAAGCTCATCTGTGTAGGATATCTGGTCCAACATTTTACCATGCGAACAGGAATGTTCGTCGACGCTGTATGAAGATAGATTCAAGCAAACTTGTTTATTAATAATAATACATATATCAAAAGAAATCGACATTCAATAAAATAGTATAAAGATAGTATAAAATAGTATAACGCAATAGTTTAGTACCTTACATCACCCAAGACTATCGACCCGTTTTGGAGAAAGCGAATTTCCTTGATTTGATTGTGTTGTGCTTTCATTTCAAGATGCATGCCCTCTTTCCCTTGCAATGTTCAGTTTTTTTTAGCTTGCTTTTCAAGCTGTGCTTCTATATATTTTTTTCTATTAACTTGTTGTAGATCTTGTGATTTCCAGTTCTCGTCTCATAATTTCTACATTTGTTGCCCTTCTCCCTTGATTCTTACATACTTACCCATAGATATATAGTACCACTACCTTGGTGTTCAATGATTGCGTCAAGAATATCAGAGAGTTCATCTCGCTGGCTTCTATACATTTTTACGCTGCCTCACATAATCGCTAACACATATCCCTTGCTGAGAGCAAACCAGTAAAACTATTACACAGATTTCTGCCAGTCATGTAGAGAAAGATGGAGGGCCGTACAAAAACGTATTGAAGATATCTGGGTCGATTAGTCCTTTAACCGTGTCAGGCCATTTGATTACAAATCAATGATAATGACTATAGTCTTTATTCATCTTTGACACCGTAGCATCTAATTTGCACATTGTACCTCCAGTTGCTTACGGATCCATCAAGAAGTGATGTTCACGGGAGATAAATAACTTTTAATGGATCTAAAGAAAAGAGACTACTGCCGCTCTTCTACCCTAGCTATACTAAAATCCACAGAAGTACAGCCATGTTAATTGAGCGTGATAATCCGATTAGCCCTACGATGACCGTATCAATATTACGGTGGAAATGTTGATTGGAGACAACTTTAAGTTACGTCTAAATTCGAACCAATTGGCCAAAGGCAAGGACAATCACACCATGAAATGTCAGTTTTTTCTTTTTTTTTGGTGTCACCATGGGATGTGGAAGTCTTTACAGCACCATGACTTGTACTGCTGCATTATTTCTTAAGGAACTAAAGAGCTAAAACTATGAACTTGATTGATCCATTAGGTAGTTGTAGTGCCGAGGTACTAGCGCTTGTTCTTGCACAGTTGTATGATCTCTAGCCTCAGAGGGCCTTCGATGAAACGTTTTCGCGTGTATAGATGGATCTTTACAATTCGGGGTTAATTGATGACTAAAGTCAGATATAGAAGATGTGAGATGCACATAGTGTCTGGAACTCGGAGTAGCCCGCTGGACGGCAAGAGAGCGTGCCCCGCGTACTCCATCTGCTCCCCTCGCCTGGCACCTCTTCGATCATATAATCTTTGCTTATGTGATCAGAGCTTTAGTCAATCAAAATCTCTATAATTTATAGTCAGCTTCCTTGCCCTTGAAACCTTTCATCTGATTTTTGGACTTAGCCAAATTGTCAAAAATTGTTCAATGACTGTAAACTGTGCCCTGAAATCTTTTCACTTCTATTTATTGTAGTAATTCGTATTGATATATACCGTTTCGGGTAGAAGTGTAGACTTATTAAGATCGAAAATCCTTTCCAAAGCCGCATCATGTAGCCCAGTATTGTTCTAGAACCGAGGAGATGAGAAAAATAGTTAGAATCACCCCATGCATCAAGATCCGAGGAAATCATCAATCTTCAAGAGCGAAGTACTTTGATGCTAGTCAGCGAGAACAATATTAGTGAAGATCAATCCAGCTCACATTATGCCTCTGGATGAGGTTAAATTCTTCCCCCAGGAGAACTCCTTTTGTAGGAGTGCCGTGTCGAATTTTTGATGTCATTCGCGTGAATTTCCTTGAAAAGTAAAACCTCTCTGTGGAACATATTAAAACGATTCGATTGCTCCAACTGAATGTTATATCTGGGCGTCAGCTTCGACAAAGCCTGTTTCAAATTATTATACATATCTTTTGCCGTAAGATTATGGCAACGAAGCGCGGAGACAGATTTGGATTGGTCATGTCAGATGTGGAGAAATTCTTGCTACCCCCCCCCTCGCTTATTGGTAGTATTAATATTAAATTAATGCGGTTTTGATCAAAAAGAGAAGTACTTGTGGTGCAGCGGTTAAGCTTGACAGCTCAACAAACACCAATCTCGCCAGTTGGTGACAACCGCTCTATACGTCCCAACGTGGCCGTCCGAGGATAAACTGACTATCTACTTGTAGGTAAGGATGCGTGACTACCTAGTAGTTGCGTCCAGATATAATGTCTGCGCTCAGGATTAGGATTGTCATGTTCAGATTTAGGGTGCACTAATCAACGACTTCCCCAGAGAAAACAACTACTTTCTCTTTTTTTTTTGTTTCTTTTTCCCTAAGATATGTATTTTCATACTATTTGGTTAATTCATCGAGCTGCCCAGTAATCAATTCAAGAGACTGATCCGTCAGTTTGCTTATCATCATTTTTAATTTCTTCAATTAGACGTAGATTTTGTTAGGTCCATCGATTGATCGCTTCAGAAATTATTCCTTGGTAGTGGAGAAAACGATTTTGGGCGGAATCTATTTAATAAGGCTACCCATTGTTCAGTCCCACTTATTCAACTTCGCGGTCTCATTTTTGTGGGACTTTATATCATGAATGGCGACTACAAACTCATCCACAGCATAATTGGATGTGCAATTCGCTACTAGTGAATGCAAGCTAGGTACTCTTTCCAAGTTGAAAGATTGCTAGTAACACCTGGTCATTCAAATGTTGATACTCTTTCGATATGCAAACGCAGAATTCACCTACAATCATAAAGTCACAAAGCTGAGTAATGTTCATTTCTATGCCCATCAAACATGGTCTGTGAATCTCTCTGAGTGACTTTTGAGACCAGTGAAAAGTATTTTCATCCTATACCTGGCCCGGAGACCTCTTATTAGTGGCTGTGTCCTATCTCTCTACAAGTTTCTGACGAAAGATGGATGTGCTATCTTTGGCTGATTTTCTGCAACATTCATGGCCAGTTGTGCCATCAGTCTTCCTCCCCAAGATGTACTCTCTTGCCGTTAATGTATGTGGATAACCTTGTGTCAATCTTGTTGCTGCTTGAAATTTAGATTCACTCTAGATGGATAATGCGTGATCACTTCCAATCTTCGAAGAAAAAGCCTCAAAATTGCCTCAAATTCACCAAATTTGAAAGTCAGATCCATGGTAACCGATCTCAAGCCGGTTCAACAGATTTCCTCAAATCCATCCTTCCATAGTTCACTCCGCCTTTCCTCCCCAGGCTGTATCTTTATGAAACTGAGACTGTAGGTAAATTTCTATAGCTCTTGAGATTAGCGAACTGTCGTTTCCTACCAGCCAACAATTGTCTTAATATCTTGTGAATTGTCCCGAATAAGTACATATTGCAAGCACCTTGAAATTATCCACTGTATGTCAAACCAAGAGATTCTGATAAGTTCAACTTCAATACTTTGATATTGGGGGGTGAATTCGTGCCGCATCTAATCAAAATTCACTCGCAGGCCGCAGCTTCTAATTTCCTTGATTTTCATCAACAACCCGGGAAAAGCCGCTTCTCTCTTCAACAAATTTTCCCGACTCCTCTTTCATACAGCAGTCTCTCTTCAAAAGTCGCATCTTTCTATTGTTCTTCCATTTCAAACATATCAGCAGCGCTGGATAGCAGAATACTTTCCTGCGCTTTGTTTAGCAAGTATTACATTCTATCAGAACACAATCCATCATGAATTCCAAAATTATAAGAGCGATATATTAGCTCGCCATCTTGCAGAGAAGAAAGCCAAGTTTCATAGCAAAGTTGAAGCTTCGATCAGGGAGCTGTATACTACCTGCCGAAAACTAAGATGCGACCGTCCTATCTACTTCCTCAAAGATGGTAAAATTAATGTCAGGCTCGCTGGATCATATGCTTTCAGCAAGGCCCCAGATTTCAAATCAAGAAATAAGATCATCGATGTTGAAAAGGCGCGCCTAGATGTTACTCAACAAGCTTTGAGGTGGATTGAAGTAAGGGCTCTTAATTCCATCTAACTCAGACAATTTTCCTGACTATCTATAGCACAACCCACCTCCTCCATATTACTGGAAGGATTTTGAAGCTGAGAATACCTTGGTGGATCTTATTTCAGAACTGGCTCTGGGTACCTACGAGAACGATACCAGACATGAGGAAGTTCAAAAGGGCATGCTTTACTTACAGGGTAAAATTATGGCTAAATTGTGTGAGCGCTTTAAGGGAAAAAAAGCAAATGAGCTAGATCCAGCCAAGTACGAACGAGCTCTGAATATCTGTCGCTTTGCACGACTAGCCGACAGAACTATTATCGGGGAGCATGCAAACGATAAAGTCTCCATGGCTCTCTCTGAGGCAAATACTGTATACACGGTGAGTTGCTTGCGTTTTTTCAAAAGTATACTGACTGATAAATATGACCAGGATCAATCTCAACAGACTGGAGCAGATTTGGTAAGTTTCTTATGAGTCCACAAATCCTCCCTACTATCTAACATTTCAATTAGAGTTGTCAACTACCTTTGAATAATGGCACCACTTCAGTTCCAATGACGATGACAGTATCTACAAACGAAGGAACAAACGAATCTGCCTACGGTGAACAAGTAGCTGCAGATGTCAAAAATGAGCCAGTCTCCGAATCCGATGCACCCGCTCCTGACACTCTCGACGAGTCAGCCTCCGATCCCGACACATGCACTCGTGGATTTATACTCAGAAACTCCTTGGTTGAAAGACGGTTACCTGGCATGAGTATGGAAACAGTTGTTAATTGGATGGCAAAATCTTTCAACAAGTATTGTGATTATCACAATGATCGTGTTAGGATGCACATCATTTCGACTATCCTTTCGAAAGATGGTGATTCTTTCGTGTCAAAAGTAGAGGAATTGGGCTCAAATGTCTCTGTCAAGAACGTCGAAGTGATGGAGCTCATCTTGCAATCGTACAGCTCGGAGACAGTTAAGCGACTTTGGGATTCAAAGCGTCGTCAAACTTCCAAAGGTCCTGGGTCATACGATCTCGAGCAATTCTTGAACATGTGTGACAGCGGCTTGCTTCCTATCTGCAACGAGATCTCAAAGGAGTTACCTGGACATGCGAACTTATTTCTCAGCCATTTCCTGAATTGGTAGAGAAATGGTATGATGAGTAGAGTTTTAAGTCTTTCCGTTCATGTCGGAGATAAGACTCAGGAATTTATTGATAGATTGCTGAAGCTTCAGAAGATCGAGCTCTTACCCCTGATAGATGCTGTAATAGCTGAAACTGACGGCAAGCCTGTACCACTTTTGGAATCCTTCTTACGCTGGAACAAAAACAACATCGCACAGAGACTCTTAGATTTTGACGCTTGTGGTGAGATGAGCGCGCTTAGCCTGGTCGAAGCAGCCTTGGATCTCGGACATTGGAACATTCTAGGAGGTATTCGATCCCTCCTCATTGAAGCTGAGTTTAATGGCAAGCCTGACCACTTCTTCCGCCAACTTCGCAAATGGCAGAGGAACAGGTCGTTCCAATATTTACACAGATTAGATCAAGTCACATCAGATAAATCTCCCGAGTTCCTGGATCTGGCTCTAAAGATGTGTGAAACTGGTCTTATGAGACACATCTCTGAAAACAGAGAGTTGATCGGAGATCGGCCATGCGGCTTCTTCGATGACATGTTCGGAGTAGCAAGAATGATCGTAAATGTAGAAGCAATCGTCGTGGCTCGAGGTGAAAATGGAAGCTTCACACGGGATTTAACACCAAACCTCCGACCAAGACTTCTCAGTACATCACTTTCTTATAAACTACAAGGCTTGCCGGCATGGATGGATTCTATTTGTGGAACAAGAGACGGCACAGATCCAAGTCAATTGGAGTTTGAAGAGGTTGGATGTAGTGAAGTTAGCAAGTTTGTTAATTTTTCTCTAAAGTTGTACGGCTGGGGTGTCCACCGCTGGGCTTTGAACAATGAAGCGTTCATTGGAACAGATCTTGCTTTATTTTTTAATCAGTTGTTTCACGTGGCTGCTGTTCTTGAGAACGGGTCTACAAGTCCTGTTGTCCTTGAGGCAATTGAAGCAACCAAGAAAATCATGTCAGGCACACCTGCAGCTATAGGAACTAAGGAAATTGACACAAGTGCATCATCCAACAAGTCGTCAGCTATGGTCTCTTCATCATCTGATATGGTCTCTCAATCACTTCAACCTTCACCAAATCCAGCCTCCACTGTTGATTGGCAGCGCAGTCTTTCAGGATCCAAGTTAGCAGCTCCACCAAAGACAGCCTCCACTTACAAATGGGAATCCAATTACGCAGACCCCAAGTCATCAGCATCTTCCAGTGAGCCCTCTGGTTCTTCTGATAGGAAAGGAAAGAAGACCGACACAGCTCCATCCGACACAGCCGAAAGCACCGGAATAACCATCCTAGCCCGTGGAAAGTGTGCCAGATGCTCTCGCCTTGGAGCCAAGATATTTCCTCGTGGTAAAATACTTTGCGAAGAATGCAGACCCTAACCTTTTTAATCAGTATAAAAATCCTAATTCATCTATCTTTTCGCTACTGAACGGGATTTCTAATCTTCTTTGTACCGGGAGATAGTACGTTCCGGATCGTGTGATCAGCAAAATTTTCTCCGGTGGCAATCTTCCTCTTCATGGGGAGTAAGACTTGCGGTATTTTGGTGTTCAGAGTCTATGTTTCATTATTTCATTTTTTTCATTGTTCATTGTGTCTATTGAGATCTGGAGATGGTGTGGAGATTGTATTTCATTGTGCTTTGCGAGTGAGGGGGGTATTGACTATGTTCAATGTATGGCAAGCTGGTTAGATGGCGATGAATAATGATGCAGTTGAGTGGTATGAAGAGGTTACAAAAAGGCAGAGACTGAGAACGATTAAGCTAATGTTACAGGCTATTAATTTGGATGAGAATGACGAGTAATGTACACCATGGGCGAACAAATACACTATGGTAACGAAAACGATAGTTTAGATTACTACCAAAAAATACAAAAAAAAAGATTAAAATGAATGTTGAATGATTGCCCTGAGAATTTTGGTGACTTCCGAAACAATGCTGGAATTCTTGGTTAAGTAGAAGTCATCGTGCATTTGTACGAGACGATTATGACTTGAAACCGATGATGCAACTATGACCGTACGCCTAATAATGGGATTGACAAGACTTCAAGTCGGGAAGCCAACTTGTCCACCACCCAACTTCAGCAGCCCAACAACTTCATAATCTATTTGAAATACGACTGTTCGACTTGCCCACCAGGAGCCTTGTCAATTCCATTACTAGGTATACGGTTAGTCCTCTCAGGCAACGGTTATGATGTAGTTTCCAATCAAGGATGCGTGGTCATATGCATTTGGTTTCCAGAGACCCTGCAACGACGTATAGACTGGGCAAGTTTCAATTTTCTCATAAAATCTCGGATCAAATGTAGCAGCTCATGATCACAAACGATAGAAATCCCATCGAATCATTATATGGCACCCAATATCTTGAAGTAGCTGGGAAATGGATCAAGGTGAAAGTGTGTAATATTATGGTGGTCCAAACGCGAGGCACGAATCAAGCAAGTATAACAGCCTCAAAATGATATAGAACATTGTTCATTTAGCTACTGAAGTGGCGTTACTAACGTACTCAAAATCTCTGACTCGCAGATCTTTGACCTCGAAATATTCACGACGTAATACAGAGAAAGAAAGAAATAACCCAACCCCCGCTTCGAGGTCTGTAGATCCACACAATCCCCATCCATAATATCACTTCAGTCTATCACTATTTTCGTACCAGTTCGGTCCACTAATATCAACTGAAGATTTGTTATCTTATCCCTCAACCTCTGCTTCGTCCGTCATTGTTCTTTTCTTGTTCGGTTTGCCGAGTAAAGCGAGTGGTTTTGTGAAATCTGACAACTTAGACTTACGGGGATCCTGAAGGGTGCGGGATTCAGAGCTTCGAGTGTTAGGATTACCAGTATCGAAGTGCGAAGGCGAGAAGTGCGAAGACCAGATGTTCGTGTGCCAAAAGAAGCGGTTCCGAGATCAGGAGTGCGAGCGGAAATGCGAGTGTCAAAGGGGACCGACGTCTTTTCATCGCCTTCCTCCGATGCTTTTGTATAATCTTCAACTACCATCAAGCTTCTTCTTTTAGAAGGTGGCAATTCGTTTGTCAAATGTTTGTCTGCTCCCATTGCCCGACTCTCGATGTTTTGCTTTGAACTTGATTGAGACTGGGACTTCCCATCTTGAAGGGGTTTGGCGTCGACAGTATAGCTACCATGTTTTTTTAGTAGAATAGTCCCCATCATTGCTGTTTCCCTCCATTCCCAGACCGTCTTCGTCTTCGTCGCCTGAAATTCTCTTTCTCTTGCTTGAAGTTTTATTTACCAACAACGCGAAGCTTCTGCCGTCTAAACTCTTTGCTGTCACTTCCTTCGAAGTCTTCCGCTTCTTTCGAGAATGCTCGACGTTCATGTCATCATTGGCATTTGTATTGACATATCTTTCAGGGTGCAGGGCTTTTGCTGCTTGAAACTTAAGTTCCTTAATTTCAGTCTGTGTCATTTACACAAGTGAAGAACTGGGGGGACTTACGGCAGCAATTCTCATTTCAGGGTTGCTCACTTTATTGGAAAGTACTTCATGTAAAAGCTAGAGATGTATCTGATTAGTGGTGTCATCAAGTCTTGGTTAACACGCTCGAGGCTTACTGGACCAAGGGTCTTTCCGCCATCAATCGACGTTGCCAAGCGTAAACGATGCTCCATATAAGCAGAATAGTTGTCGATCTCTTCTGCAGGTATACCTTGGACATTCTTAACCATATTTTCGTACGCATCCACAAACGCCTGTTCTTCTTTCGCGCCCGGAATCCATGCTGGGTTTGGATTTTTCCGCAATTAACTATGTTAGCTTGAGTCTTTTCTGTATCATGATGTCATGCAGAACTTACTTCCCAGAAGGCCAGTACTTTTATTGCTAGATATTGCTTCAAATTCAGGATGTCTTTGGGGCTGGACGATGAAATATCTTTACGCCAGGTGCCGATATTATGAGCGACGTAACCACCTCGAATACTCAACGAGCCAAACATTTTATCGTCCTCGGAGAAAAATTTCCATTGCATTCGAAGGCCTTCTTCTAAGACCTTTCGATCAAGTGCCCTCAAAGCAGTGTTCTGGGCAAAGGCATATTTCAATCTTGATTCTGACTTTTTTGATGTAGTCTGTGGCTGCTGCGAGACCGTCTTATCTGGTTGCAAACTCATGTTCGTTCAGGTGCAGCTTTTTGTTTCCTGAATGGCTAAGTAATTGAGGTAAAAAGTGTTCAGTGGCCCGTATTAATTTGTCAAACCAAAAGCTTGTAAATCTCTTCGACCTCGTTATCAATCTATCAAGCAGAAGACAATACCCTCAAGACGTGTTACATAAAACACAAAAGTACCGCGGCTTCTGTTGCCGCGTGGTCGAGCGCGAAATGGTAGATATGAGTGAATTTTCAAGGCCAAATGTTGCCAATACCTAGGTAATTTAATAAAAGCGGTCAGCTACTCTTGGATTTGACCGTTAAAAGCCAGCTGGAAATGCTGCTACGTGAGTTTTGAATAGGATTCAATTCACCTACAGTTTCATGCCCATCCGTTCACGCCTAATAATTCACATGAATCAATTGGATATTGCCGTTCACGGCAACAGAATGGACAAAAATCGTGGAGACTATGATCTGATATCCTCAGAGAAAATCTATCTAAGCAAAAGAAGAACGAAGAGATGGCTAAAATGAAGCTATTCTCATTTGTCAGATACACGAGACTTTCAGCAACGGATCACCTATGCCCTGCCCGGATCAAGTGATTCATCGACCTTCCTTGAGCGAGATGAGATGAGAATCTTGGAATCCGGTAGGAAGAACTGAACCTTTCATAAATAGCAAATATGCACCACCATCCACTATAAATAGTTACCAGTTCGTGCGTTCCTAGTATATCAAAGGTCCCCTGTGCTTTTATAGTAGAAAAGTCTAGTTCCTCGAGCATATTTCTATTCTCCTTAATCCTGCGCTTGGTCTTCGGGTTGTCTTATTCCCCTTTCTATCCAGCTATATGGCTACCAGCTATATGGCTACCAGCTATATGGCTACCAGCTATATGGCTATCATCTATCAGAATCAAAGAAACGAGCTTTGAACGAGCAACATCTGTATTCACTCCATCTTTTCATATCAAATAGCCATCTTTGTCAAAGACGCTTTCTATTCGTACATAGTTAGACCCCAAACACAATTTTAGAATATAGTAAAACATGTCTTGAACCACGCGATGGTCTGATTCCCAATATCATTGATTGTATCTATTTCGATCTGGTGCCCTTCACTCAAACCCTCTACGCGAATGTGTTCATCACCTCCAGATACGGAGTCGGTTTCTACATGCTCTACAACTCCAATATCAGCACGATGTATAATTTGAGGGTAATCAGCCGCTAAAAATTCTATTCAACTTATCATTGATAATCTGACTTCAATTTCCTCACAGATTCTATCCAGTGTTTCTAGAGGTTTGTCCGGGGATTCTGTGAAGAACTTTTCAGGCAGAAGATAGGGGCCTGACGCGTTCGTCGAGTTCTCTTCCATGATTGCTGTTTTCCATAGAGATAGACGGACGGTATCAGGAATAATTGAGGTAGCAGATAAGACTTGGAGAATCTTCGCGTTGTGGTTGGAAGTGGATTTGTCGTGGGCGAAAATGATGTCAAAGAGGGCAAAAAAGAATACTTCACGTGCACTGATTTACTCCCATTAGTCCACATCCCTGCTTCACCATAATTTCGCACTGGCAATTCCATATGATGAGTTTACTTGATCCGTATAAACAACCGCAGATGCATATATTAGCTGTCAGATCCTCAGTCAAGTTACGGGATACAGTCTGAGATTTCCTCGTCTGGATTCTCTTTCGCTTCGTTGTAGCGATAAGCGATGCTTAGACTAATATATAAGAATCCGTGGCGTTTCATTCTTACTTGAATTCCAATTTCAAGAGATTGAACTACCTGATCTTCAGAATTCTACCTCATAGTATAACTATGATCAGAAGCCATGAGTAGAAAATAAAGTACTGGCAGTAAGCTTACAAGGCAATTCAGAAATTCAGAACAATATAAATCAACGAAATACCGCGTATCTATCTAGACATGCAATATCGGGATCTGTTTACGAGAGTGTACCATCGTGTATAACCGCGTGATGATGTTCCGGACATGCGTTCTCAAATACATTATGATGGTGCTCTCACCATATACCTCCTTCTATCTCTCTATATCATTCGAAAATGCCAATCAAACTTCATCAAGACTTTGAAACAGCGGCATCCCGATACCAGGAATTCATAGCGCCCTTTATTCCAGACGTACAATCAGAGCAACTCTCTACGCCTACTATCTCCCCAATCAATTCAATTCATTTCGCTAACCCCGTCTTAAACCATAACCTTACTATCGGGAAGAGGTATAGCGATAACTACTGCAATCACACTAATATCATAACACGACACCTAGTATAGTCGACCATTCCCAAGTATTCCAGCTAGCTTCTAACACATTGAGAAAGATGCACATATCACCATGAAATTCATAAAGATACAAGCTTTAGCCAACTATAAAACAACACGAATAGTTTTAATTCACATTGAACCTACAATATAACAAAAAAAGAGTCCCGATCATAGAATCTACGAAAGGACATCTAAATATCCGCAGTGTAAGAAGCTAAGTTTCAACACGGAAAACATCACGAGTACTAGAACCAAAACCTCAGCCTTCGAGTTCGGAATCAGGTACCAATCCCAGATTAAACTCGATGTTTCTTTGCCGTCGATTTCTTGGGATTCTTTTCTTGCAACAACATTGCCGTCTGATTTTTTCTTCCCTCTATTCTCATTATCATGTTCGCTATACTTCTCAATTCTTAGCGGTCCAGAAGTTGCATGACAGTGCAATCCCGAGAATTCTTAGAGTCAGAATATTCTACCAACCACATGTAGTTTCAAGGGTGTATTTATGTTCAATATCATATGTGGGTGTATTGAAGATTTATGGAAGTTGTAGCTGAGGAATATCTGAAAGAATTGAATGCTTGTCGTCTACGGAGAGAAACGGGCATAGGATTCTTCAGGCCTTTGTGTCTTTTCTTCTGACATCATTGCGGTGCTTCAGTTGGTAGCAGCTGTCTGTATGAAAGAAGCTCCCTAGGTCGTTTATAATGTAATCAGATGGAAGATAAACGTAACCGTGTCCAGGTTTTGTTACTTTTAATTAGTAGGCAGACCCGTATACGAACGGGGCAAATTGACCACGGTGAGGAGCAGCACTTGCACAAAAGATTCCGCTTCAATTTACCACCACATCGCACTAGCAGTTCTAGGAAGATTGTTTATTTCAAGATGAGAATATCGGTTTTCTAAGCGAGTACATGTGTCAACTCCTTCCCCTCATACCATCTCTGAACGTTCTCAGCTTGTACTTCATACCAATCATTCATGGTACCTTCTTCCACATAACCCATATGCGGACTCAACAAGACTTTGCTGCTTCCATCCTCTCCCCATTTTGTGCTTCTCCACTGACTGTCTTCTGGCAAAGGCTCTAGATCAAACACATCCAGCGCAGCCCCACGAATGTTTCCCTTTTGCAAAGCGCCCAGTAAGGCTTCCTGTTGAACAAGAGGTCCTCGTGATGTGTTGACAAACAAAGCACTCTTCTTCATTAAATCCAAGTCCTTTTCGCCTACTATTCCTCTGGAACGATCACTCAACACCAAATGCACACTAACCACGTCGGCCGTGGAGAACAACTCTTCCTTACTCACAACCTTGAACACCTTCTCTCCATCCTCATCCTCAGTATCAAAACCACTGTCTCTAGCTTGTTGATCGGCAGTTTCTTGAGTCAAATTCGAGCTCCATGCTATAATCTTCATACCGAACGCTGAATACATGATCTTGGCTACATTTGTGCCCAATCTGCCTAGCCCCAAAGTTCCAAAAGTCTTTCCACTCAATCCAGTTGCTAACGTTGTTTGCCAGCCACCTTCCTTGACTATTCTATCATCCCAGGCTACATTTCTCGCAATTCCTAAAATCAAGGCAACAGTATGTTGCGTGGTGCTATCTGGTCCTCTCTTTGATTTCCCCGAGGCACCGGTGACAGTAATTCCAAGTCTCTTGGCGGCTTCCATATCAATACCCTTATTTCTGCTTGCTGCATTGAGGAGGAGTTTGAGATTGGGAAGTTTTTTTAGGAGTGATGCGGGAAAGGGAGTCCGTTCTCTCATAGATGAGATGATTGTGAATGGCTTAAGCCTCTCCACCAGCTGATGTTTGACATCTTCCGGAGTTGAAGGGTCATTGTAAGGTAAGAGGGTATCTGGAAAAGTGGTAATCTCAAAGGTTGACTTGAGTGACTCGAAATGTTTAGAAGCAATCTCTTGATAATCATCAAGAATAGCCAATTTGATGAGTGGCCGAGGTACAGGAGGCATAGTGATATAAATGGATAGCAGGTACACCAGTATTGAATTGTCTAAAACCGAAGCAATGCGGGGTAAAATGTGGGGTGACGCTGATATGAAGGACCAATCAATATGTCAAAAGCAGGGGGAAGAGGACTAGCAGAAGTGTTGCTTTGGATGAAGTTATTCAAGAACCCTTCTCGGCGAGGCAATATGTGTAAGATTTACCAATCAATGATTGATTCATAAACAAGCCTTAAGTTTCCGAGAGGACGTGGAAGTAAAACCGTGAGGTCTGCATATCCGAGGTCGGAAGCAAGCATCCACACGAGAGATGATGAATGGGGGACGTTGCTTCCCACCCCACGATTATCCGCTTCGTAAATTAACTGGAGAGTGACGGTGGGGTTCCTCCTAGATCAATGAGTACCACGTGAGTACCAAGTGTACACAATAGAAAATTATGTTCGACCAGGACAAGAGCACGGGTTTACTTTGATCAATTTAACCTGGCTCCCTGGGTACACCGTGCCAAACCGAGAATGCGCAAAAGTCGGCAATGCATGATTGGAGCGCATGAAGATTCAATCCTCTTTTTTTACTTCTCTTGGTCGGGCTCTCTTCCGCCGACAACTTGTCTTGCCCCACCACTATTTTTGGCGGGGATATGATAGTATATCTCAGTATGTACCTCGTTTTGTACGCATTGGGGATTGGGTTGATGGCTTGAACACGTATAATTCGTGGAGAACTTCTGACAGA